GCTCTATCTGTTAGTATATTGAGTTCATATATATACATGTTGATACTAGGAGCTATTAAATCATTTGAGAGTTCTTAATATTATTATGTTAAATATTGTAGAAATTTTTGTGGTAAATTGGTGATAGATTTAGTCCTAAAATTTTTATAGTTGCTTCATTGTATTATTGTGTGTTCACTGTAATTTTTGTAACTTTAGAATAGACTAAGCATTAAGGTAGTTAGATACTTTTTGTTTCAAATATGCATACCTAGAATGGTTAGCTAACGAATTAATCATGACTGCTAATAAAACTTGACTGTAAGGATGAACTATTAGTAATACTTTTTGTAAACAAAAAGAAAACAACAAACCCATATTGCCTATTATACTTCTTGAGTCAGAAAACTATTCCCACTAGTCGGGTAAGTCTTGCGAGTATATTGTGTACCCATAGTTTATTTTACTCCTGTTGTAGGTGCAGCTTAAAGAGTAGCTCTTGTGTGGAGGATTCTTCTGGTGGGCACAGACGGATCCTTGTATCGTTTCCGCTAGATGCTTATTTTCATTCCGCTGTTTAATTATCGCATTCTGAACTCTGATATTGTAATAAATAATTTCTAAGAACTCTTGTTGTATGGAATTGACTCAGTATTGTAAGTTCATACTCATTATTTAACTCTGGATGTAAAACGTGGATTATTTCGAGTTCTCCCTTGGAGTGTGCTCGACGGAACTGACCTATGTAGCTCACTTTCGAGGCGTTTAGTGTCTAGTGGAAGACGAGCGCCTCCGAAAGTAAATTATTTCGGGCGGTTCTACCACAGATTGCATCTAGAGGCACTTGGTGTTCGTGTTTCGCTGTGGGATTCGCTTGTTACTCTTTGTGGTTGCCGCCACCTAGACGGCTTGGTGCAGCGAGGATCGTCGAGCGGAAAAATGTGCTTGTCTCCGGTTTTGATCGTGGTGATCGTGAGGGGTTCTTGACCTTTCCTCGACTGAGAGCCAAAAGGGACTTAGTGTTAGAGGTAGTTGGGCCCGCCGGCAACATCGAACCTGCACGCGCTGCCTCCGCGTTGTTGCCGCCGGCGCCGTGTAGCCAGCCACTGAGCACGGCGTTCTCCGTGAACTCGAAGACAGTCCGCCTGCAGCCTTGGCGCGTTGCGAAAAACTAAGGTGCTAGCCTGTCTTGATGGGCCCCCTCCAGCGTGGAGAAGAAAGAAGAAAGAGAGACTGAGATGGGCTGACGGAGTTGACATGGGAAATCCCATTTTTGTCATTAAATGACAATACTAAATTGACTGATTTACCCTTATTCAAAAATAAAATAAAAAATAAAAAACAGATCTTGCCCCCACAGATTTTGGTACTGGTCTCACCTAATTTGGTACTATCCCCACCTATTTAATACCTTTATGTACTTTCAATTGGGTACCTCCTATTTTTTCACCGTTCGATCTTGTCCGATGGATGACCCATGTTTTTTTCCAATCATTGTAAAATTTCTCACAAATTTAATGTCTTTCTCTATAGGAACGTGGTGCTCTTGTAAAAACTATACATATTTTTTCTTGGCTCAGTTGTAACGAAACCATGCACCCTTTTGTTGGTTCGGCACGCTCATCCCCCCTCCCCGATCAGCTGGTCCTAGCTTAAGGAAACCACACTGTTTGCGTACCATCCTTTAAAAAAACATCAATAGTGTAATTTATACTAGGTTTAAGAGCATGTTTGATTTAGAGCAAATGAGCAATATAGTAGACCTTGATTTCTTTTGGTTGACACTAAAATTTGGTTATGTTTACATAATTTGGCCATGTCCAAGTCCAAGTCTCTTGCAAGGTGCGAGTGAAGACTAAGCTTTGGTTTAAGTTTCAGAAGAAGAAGAAGAAAGGGCCGGCCCAAGGAATTGAAGCCCATCCTGTGAAGCCACGAGGGACCCGACCCGACATGGGCTACTTAGGATGGCCCTTTATCACCGATGCGAGTTGGGCTGGCATCGATGTATCGTAGCGGCCGGCAAGCGTGTGTACTGTACTGTACTGTACTCTCTTGTGTTGGCGGCAGCTAGATAGTAGTAGCATCGACGTATAGTACCCGTTACGGTGAGTAGCTCAGTGCTAGTGCTGTTTTTTCTTTGTTTTGTTTTTTCTCGAATACGCAAAAGATTTACACATCATTATAATTAAAAAGAAGAATTTAAGCATACAGACGACACGCGCTCCTGATGAGCGCCCTAGAAAGTCTTATAGCTGTGGCTGAACTGTCCTAGTGTACGCATAGCTTGCAGTTTCTATTAATTAATTCTCTCAGCACATACATTATGACACATCGACGACGACGACATCGTCTGATGATATATAGATAGATGAACCAATAATGTGAAGCACCCAGCTAGCCAGTATATATATAAATAAATAAAGTAACAATAAAACCTTAATTAGATAGAGGACGAGGAGGCCGACGGCGACGATTGCGTGTAATGTAATGCAGTAATCTATTCGGATGGATGGATCATTTGGATTCACGGGTGAACGTACGGGCGTTGTCACGGGATGGTGTGTGCGTGTGTGTGTATGCGCCGACGTTACGCGCCGGCACATCCATCCATCACGGCATGCAATCACATCAGCGAGCATATATAAACACACTGTACCATTCATCTACAATCCTCGATCGATCGAGATATACATATACATACATATATGTCCGCTTGCATTGCTCGCAAAAAATCATATAATAATTTTTTTTTTCGAGATCATACCCCGTGGCATGTTTTTCATTAGTAGAGTGTTACAAAAAAAAACATATAATAATTAAGCTAAGCTGCATTGCGTTGTTGCATACACTGATCCACACACGTAGACATAATATGCAAGTCAGCTAAGGTGTTTGATGATCTACTAGCAGCTAAGAGCGTCTTCAAGATCATCTGTCTACTTGCTTCATTATCATAAAATTTGGAAAGAAAAAGACAAAAATAAATCCAACAGTACGTCTCTCTAACCTACTCTATATATGTATTTTTTTGGTTCTCTAAAATCACCCTTCTCCCTCTCTAATTTTGGAGAGGTTACCGTACATGACTCTCTAAACACAAACATATTTCCCCTAAATTATTTCTTCACGTGAGAAAAATTATTATAGGCTATTCGAGTATATATAGAGAAGAAAAATTGACCGTCGGAGACACGAGAGATATAAAAAAGAGGATATGTGTTTATTGAATGGCATATACTAAATTGAGTTTTAGAGATTGAAATTTATATAGAGATGCTTGATGAGTTGCTCAATAATTGACTTCCCGGCCCTTTGACAGGCAAGTGAACACAGATGCATACATGCATGGATGAGAGCAGCCGGCCGGCCGGTTGTTATATGTTCCAGCAAGGGATCCTCCAGCAAGCCTTCATGCGTACACACAACTCCCATCGTTTGCATTGGCAGTCTTCTGCATGACATCCCATGCATTGATTACTAGCTAGCTAGCTAGTAGTACTAATAAGTACCCCTATGTACTGTATGAAAAGGATGCAAATCTAGTTTAGTTTAATTATCTAAATAGTATTAACACAAGTGTGACTTTAAGGTATCGTTTAGTACAACTCTAGTTCACTAGTGAAGTCGTTTTTTTTTACGTCAGTTTGATAAACCGTATGTTTAGCAAAACAACTCTAATGTGGAGCTTCTTAAGGGCTTGTTTGGGTCTGGTCCACCAACTCTGCTCCACAAACTTCACCACATAGCAGCTCCATAAAAAACCTGAAGTTTCTGGAACACTCCTTTTAGGTGCTAACTTCGCCCTTTTTTTTTCCTGAAGCAGAGTTTGTGAAGCTACACTTGCTTGGCTGAAAAACATGGAGCGAAGTAGTCCCAAACAGAGACCATAAAACATGCTCTCATAGAATCTCATGCCAGGACCCATCAAAGTGAGTGGGAGGTAGAAGAAGATACTATTTGTTGCTCAAAAAAGAAGAAGAAGAAGATACTATTTCCAGTTACATCTCCCATTGATGACTTGTGAGAGTAGGTTTTAAAGGAGTTCCTTAGCTGCAACTGTTTTATTTTATCCTTAAAAAAAACATGTGCTAGCTGGAGCTGCCAAACGAGACCTAAATGGTAAACTTTGATAAATTATTTTAGCACGACTCTAATGATATATGCTTATATAGAGTAGTATTTTTTTTATAAACTTAGTTAAATTTCATATATATATGGATCTAGAATTGCGTATATCTTTTTTTTCTGAAGGAAGTAGGACATATATAATACTATGTAGTATGAGAGGAGTAGTATCAAGATGGAATGGAATGATCGATATGGCCTGGAGCGGGCGGGGCAGGCAGATGAATCGATCGATATATCACAGCTAGGTACAAGTAGAAGGCTGGCTCGTGAACCCCCCAAGGCCACGGGCCAGCAGGCAAGCTAGCTGATGAGTGATGAGTGGGCAGGCCCGCAGGCAGAAGCTGATGGGGGTCGTGGTCTCGTGTCACTCCCTTCCACCCGCATGTGAGCAGCGGCGGGGCCCGCCGGAGATCGCCGATGGCTGCGGCCCGGCCCCATCGTCGTGTAGCGGCTCGGCCGGCCGGCCTGCCTGCCTGCCTGCTATTGTTGGCTCTGGTTTCTGTTGTGAATGCGTACCGGCCGATGGATTGGTTTGCGTTTGCGTTGCAATAACATGCATGCTATGCTATGCTATGCTCGTGCTGCTGCTGGTCTGGAATTTTGCTGGCGATGCAAATTTTGCAACTGCTAGGATTGGAGTAACTAACTAATAACGCCTCCCGTGACCCGTGTCCATTTCAATCCATATGTCTCAGTCTGTCCGATCCGTCCGGTGGCCGCGACCTCCAAATGCAATCCCGGCCTCTTCTCCTATAAATACGAGACATGGTAACCGACGGCAGGCCCATCCACCGCCGCGCCGGCAAAGGCAAGCACGCAGAGAGAGAGAGAGAGAGAGAGAGAGAGAGAGAGAGAGAGAGAGCGCAGAGCGATCTAACTAGAGAGTGGCCGGCATGGCGGTACTGTGGTGGTCGTCGTCCTTGTCCTCCCGCGCCGTGGCTGCTGCGCTGCTGTGCCTGCTGGTGGCTCACGGCAGCAATTGCGCCAAGCACAACAATGGTGGTGGTGGTTCCGGCGGCAAGAGCCACAAGCAGGGCGGACGAGGAGGCCATGGCGCCCCGACCCCGTCTCCTTCTCCTCCGCCGGCGGCTCCACCTGGTGGTGCTGCTGGTACAGTCCCGCCTGTGTACCCGACCCCGACGACGACGAACCCTCCGCCGGCAAGCAACGGCAGTAGTGGTGGGTGGCTGAACGCCCGTGCGACATGGTACGGCGCCCCCAACGGGGCGGGGCCCGACGACAACGGCGGCGCGTGCGGCTTCAAGGACGTGAACATGCCACCTTTCTCGGCGATGACGTCCTGCGGCAACGAGCCACTCTTCAAGGACGGCAAAGGATGCGGCTCCTGCTACCAGGTCTGTAATGCATGCATGTAACCACCATTATATTTACCATTGCCAGTACGCAACGCAATGCGTGCCAGCAGGCTGCCAGCGCCAAGGATGCAGTGGCACTGGCATGGCACTCGTCACAGCTCACTCGCTCCATGCATTTGCACTTGCATATGGAAGCAGATCCGTTGCAAGGCCCACCCTGCGTGCTCCGGCGTGCCGGAGACGGTGATCATCACGGACATGAACTACTACCCCGTGGCCCCCTACCACTTCGACCTCAGCGGCACCGCCTTCGGAGCCATGGCCAAGGACGACCGCAATGACGAGCTGCGCCACGCAGGCATCATCGACATCCAGTTCAAGAGGTAATTAATTGGCGCTGTCCACAAAAGCTACTATATATATACTAGCTAGCCATATGGTAGTATCTTTTAATAATACATTAATTTTCCTTTTTTCTCTTTATTAACGGCCGCAATGCAAGTACCTACGGATCCGAGTAGTATTAGCTAGCTATCTATCTATCTATTCCATTTCTAGTAGTCTATGCATGCATGTACTTCAACTGATATATAATGTATGCATGGGCCCAAATTAATCCAAAACTAATTAATGATATATATATATATATACACACACACACACTGATGAAGTAGCTAGCTAGTGCAAAATTAACTTGAATGGTTATTTGCACATGTACATTTCTCTGCAAATTATAATTGAAGTAAGGTAAAGTAAATTAAGCAGTGCGCACCAGATTGGCATCACCATCAGCATTTATTATTTATATATATGCATAAGTCAACATTTCCTTGTCCTTAACACTTGACAGTATATTTCGGATGTGACACGTACATATGTATCAATGTATATATGTATGTATTCATAGGGTGTCCATATATATACAGAGAGGCACTTTATTGTAGCTAAGCTAGCTAGCGAATAAATAAAACCTAGCTAGCTACCATATACATATGTCAGTGTCGTACATACTAAACCACAAAATTAATTAGTTAAGATGTACTACCTGTGTATGATGACGACGACAACAACAACAAGCTAATAAGACAGATCGAGTACGGTGACACTGACAGTGTAGCTAGCTAGCAAGTAGTAGCAACACAGGCATATATATGTATGTAGAAATGATGCTGCTAGTGCTAGCTAAATGAAGTTAATGATATATAGGTCCGGTTCGGTTTAGCCCATATTTAGTTTGCTCGGCTTCTTTTTTCAGCCCGAACAGTGTTTTTCAGTCAGAACAGTATTTTCAGCCAGTTTTAGTTAAGTTTCAGACCAACGAACGGGGCCATAGTGTTAATTAATTACGAAAAAAACACTACACCTACTTATTATTATGTATGTGTTGTGCTGCCGGGCCGCCCGGGTTTGCATGCAATTACTTGCAATTGCCAATAATTGCCAATGCAACTGCAGGGTTCCGTGCCAGTACCCTGGGCTGACGGTGACCTTCCACGTCGAGCGCGGGTCCAACCCCAACTACCTGGCCGTGCTGGTGGAGTACGAGAACGGCGACGGCGACGTGGTCCAGGTGGACCTCATGGAGTCCCGCCCCGACGACGGCGAGCCCACCGGCGTGTGGGAGCCCATGCGCGAGTCCTGGGGCTCCATCTGGAGGATGGACACACGCAGGCCGCTGCAGGGGCCCTTCTCGCTGCGCGTCACCAACGAGTCCGGCAAGACGCTGGTGGCCGACCAGGTCATCCCAGCGGACTGGCAGCCCGACAACGTCTACAGCTCCATCGTCCAGTTCGACTGACGACGACTAGCGATCCATCGATCGGTTCCCCGGCCGGATCGGATAGATCTTCATGATGATACATACATACATACATACATACTCCAATGCAAATGCAAGCGATTCAGCTAGTACGTAGCTGCTACGTACGTACCTCTAATTAAGGCTACTCTGATCTTATGCACAGCACAGATATATATAGTTAGCTAGATGATATATATATATATATACACACACACATCCCAATGCAGTCAGTAAGTATACATTCCATGCATGGATGGATGGATGATATATAGATAGATAGATAGACGACGCCTGTTGGTTGTTTTCTTGTTACGGGGGTACGGTACTGCTAGCTGATGAATAGTATGATGATGCTGCTTTGGCGAGACGTCGATCGTGACGTCCGTCCAGTGCATTATACTGTGCCTGTATCTGTATGTATGTCATCTATCATATATGGAATTATATCATATATTCTATATATATATTCTGTATATATGTATGTCGTCGTCCATGCCCACCTCGTACGTGCATGCGTGAGCTTGTACGTACAAGGCCCAAGTTGTCAATAATTAAGGCACTAGTATAAGTACTAGTAGCTTGCATTTGCATGTGACAGCAGATCGGAGCTCAAGCTCATGGAGAGAGAGAGAGAGTTTAATTGGTAGCTAGCTTAGCATGCATGCATGGACATAGGACATGGCCCTCTTGCTGCTGCCTTTTCTCTTTTGTCACCTTCAGCCCGTGCCTTAGCGCTTCATGTGGTTGTAGTGGCGCTTTCTTTGGTCTTCTGCGTTGGCCCTGCATGCTTTCCTTAGATTTGCATGTCCTCCTCTCTATGCTTGCTTTATTCGCAGCACTCACGGGCTTTTGTTTTAATTCGCATGCCTGCCGACCTGCCACACCCTAGTACCCATGCTTGCTACCCCCGTCTAGTCTAGTAGTCTCAAACCTCAACAGCTACTCCGTAACTAGCTAGTACTATCTACCTCCATCTGCTTATATGAACCCGTGTGCATGCATATTCATATAGGGTCTCATTAATTGCCTGCATTAGCATATATCCAAGTTTGATTTGTGCAATATAGTTTACTCGTGTTTGGTTCTCTGCAGAAACTCTTATACAGACTTGTACTATGTTCAAAGTAGGCAATGCAAGTGTACATACAGTTGTTTGTTCCCCTTTCTGTATTTTGTGGTTGTCCTCCGCTTTCTCTCGTGTGTGCTGTTGGTGGTGTTGTGTTGTAAGTGTACGTACTCTACTCTGTTGTATCCTTTGAGCGGTAATTTATATTACAATTCCAATGCAATTATTCAGGTGGGGAATGCCCCCTGACTCATCAAAAAAAAGTAGGCAATGAAGCATTAGCTAGTATGTTATATTTTTTTATTAGACAATACAAACTTGCATAAGACGATGAGTACACAAAAATAAATAAAATAAAACATTCTCTACTTTTGTTAGAAACATGAGACGACCTCTGAAAGAAGTGACTATATGTAAAAAAAATGTAAACAAACAAACACAATTTTATTGGATGCGGCTTGCCTATGCAGGACAACCCAAACACCAATGCACTGCATACATTTATATTGGCTTAAGTTATGTAGCGTAAGGTCTAATGCATGCTAAGCCTAATACAATCAACCAATCAGACCCATATGCTCCTCCAAGAAATCAAAGTCCGATCCGTTATATTACCAAAACTAAACATGCATTCATGTCATCGACAATATAAGTATCACACCTGCCCCTACTTTAGGCCCTATTTATTTTCGCTTATAATCGATTCGCTTAATTAGAATCACCAAACCGTGGGGATTTTTATGATTCTCGATTGTGCTAGTTCATAGTTCTGAAGTGGCACTCAGAAGAATAAAAGCTAATCAAAGCGATTGGTGTGATTCTCGCTTTTAATTTTTCACTGATCACAGGTGATAGCTAGGAGTGCTAAGGTATGGAGGTAGCACGTAGCAGGGTAGGATATAGACAGATGTTGCTGTGCTTCAGCGCCTATTCCCTGTGCAGTCTCTGTCTTCTCTTCTTTTCTCCTGTGACAGTAATCCCCTATTGCCGTCTTTGTAATGTGTTTGTTTGCATCATCTTCTTCGTCTTAATGAAAAACGTGCCTCGTGGCACGGTCGAGAGAAAAAAATCACTGACAAAATCCAGTTATAAGCGGGAATTAAACAAACATGGCTTTAGTAGTTAGTTTAATAATCTATCTCGTCTTGCGTCATCCATCCCCATCCTGATTTAATTAGCACTAGCTATATATACTTAGTAGCAGCATCAGCATCTAGTGCTAAACAACGCATTCATGCAATGCATAACCAACTGCAGCTACCACTCTCTTCTCTGATGGACAACTTAACTATCACTATATATATACTCGAAATTAAGTAGGGGAGTATGCAAAAAGTGGTTCCACGCTCGCATATTTATTATCACTATATGTGTGTAGATAAAAAAGCATAAGCTAAGATAACCGCCCAAGTGCTACGATTTATCACTACATGCATGTTTATTTATTGCTGGTTGTAACAATGTGAATGTTGTAAAGCTCATTTCTCTAGTAGTGGAGCACTAGTGTAATGTGTTATGGAGATACATGGTATATTTATTCCATATGTCCTGAAATAAAGGCATCAATGGTTTAAATTTTCTCTCGAATTATAAGGTATTATGAATTGCAACCCTATCAATATATTTTAAATCCTATCAATGCATGTTGTTTAAACATCATCTTGACCAAAATGATTCATGTAATTAACTGGTAGCCAAAACCAATGACACACATGCTTGCTTTTTAAAACTTGTCTTAGGAAATTAAGCAAGTTAACGACCAAACCAATTAATGAGTGACGAACAATGCAAGTTAGTCTTTTGCCACATGCCTTAATTATTTGGATACAAAATTGCTTGCATACCTTGTGTATTTCAGGATTGAGGTGGTATATAACTTAAGTATACAACGGTTGTTTCCCTACAAAATAATATCATTTTGCCCAAGTCGATCGCTTTTTTCTTTACCCGCCAGCTACTAGCTACTGCTCCATATAAATATATTAAAGAGTACTATATACTAGTAATAAAAAAATGCAGATTAGGTATTTATGTTGTTCTTTGCATTGGGTTACCTTTTGTTATCTTGCACGCGGACGTCCTGCTGAATGCCTGGTAGGCCAGCGGTATGGGCATCCTAAATAGAATGTAGTACTACTAGTATATATATGTTGTGGACCATCATTGCAGTGCCTTTTTGCCGTCCATACAAGACCGGAGGAAAGGAGGGAGCGAACAAAAGGTAGTGGTAGCTGCTAGCTTTTCCGTGCAATCATCGACAACATTCCTGTGGTGGCCTGGTACTACTGGTGTGCATGCTGATAGGAGAACATGCATGCATATCAGCATAGGGGCCTCAATCGTCCTTGATTGCACGCCAACCAATACTATTTACTTCCTGCTGCCGGCCATCACAGGACACTTTTATTATATATAATAGAAGAACGCTGAGCTTGATTGAATAAATATCATAATATATGTCAGTAGATTTTAGTATTACGACTTAGATAACTAAATATATGTTAGTAAATAATATGTGTAAGAGACCGTGATGCCTAAGAGAGAGGGTGAATTAGACGACTTAAGCTTCTACTTTTAACTAAGGCATCTAATTTCACCTAGCCAAAACCTATGCTGAAAAGTAATCTATATAAATGTGCAACTATGGTTTTACTAGGTGTGTTGTTATCTTTACTATAAAAGAATGATACAACCTAGGTTTCAATCTTATCAACCAGCCTATCAACTAAGCTAGGGAAGTAAAGCACGCAACCAAGGTAGTAATGTAAATGCGGAAGGTAAAGATAAGGTAGAGGTGCAAACTCCCATCGACGACTCCAGTATTTTTACCGAGGTATCGAGAAGCGCTCAAACTTTCCCCTATTCCTCGTTGGAGCCCCTCACAAGGAATTCCTCGTAAGGGCCAAGATCCCGGTCAGGTAACTCCGTGGATAGCCCCGGGCCTTCCCCACGCGCAAGTGGGTCTCCGGTGTGCCTTCTGGTAAGCCTCTCCTGGGTCGCTCCCCGCCGTCTTCACTATCACGCTTCCGGCCAAACCGCCGCGAGCCATGTTCCCTTCGGTACATGGTGGCGGCCACACCATAAACGCGGTTGATGTGATCTCGCAAGACTACAAGCCCTCTGATGTACAACAATAGTGTGCGCAAGCACCAAGTGATAAGAGGTGTGCAAACCTCACTAAACACTAGGCCTAAACCTAGAGCAAGCGCATAAGCGATGGTCTAATCAATCTAAACACTTCGCAAAGCACCTATCCTAATCACCTAATAAATTACTAAGCACTATACAAGTGGAGATCACTAAAATGGTGTATCAACACCCTCGGTATGTTTTCTCAGCTCTCTACTCCTCAAATAGTCGGTTGGGGGTTTATTTATAAGTCCCATAGAGAAAGTAGCCGTTGGAAACAAAACCTAGCTTTCTGCCATTGACCGGACGTGCAGGTCGTCTTGAACGAACGCGTCCAGTCGTCCTGACCGTTGAAGCCGACTGTTGGGGCTCACTATTGATCAGACTCTCTGGCGAGTCCGGTCGCTTACCATCTGACATGTCCGGTCGACGTTTTGCTATTCTAAAAACCTCTCTGAACTCGATCGGAGGCCACTGCCTGGCGTGCCCGGTCGTCCAAAGCTGTTGCGTCCGGTCCTCACTGAGTTGTTGCCGCGATGATGAACAGTGAAGTCCGTGCATCCGGTCCCTGCCTCGCTCAGAGTCCGGTCGCTGCTGCTGACGCCTGCTGTTGCCGAACAACTGATCGAACGCATCCGGTCCTCATAGGGCCGCGTCCGGTCACCTATGCCGAGCTCGTTTCTTCACGACCTTGCGTTCGGCTTGGTTCCCATCTTCGTGCTTAGACTTTGCTTGATATCTTGGATCTTCTCTTGTGCTTCTAGGGTCTTGCTTATGGTGTTGATCGTGGGATCATCATGTC